GCTTTGAGAAGACCAATGTACCAAATCATAAGGTAGAAATAGGTGCTTATTTTCATGACAAACAGAGCTGTTAGCACCACCAAAGCTGAAAGACACGAACACTTCTGGTTTTCCTGTCTCCTGCCGCTGGCTCCCGACCACCCTTCCCACGGCGTTTCCACGACGACCTCGACAGCCCCACTCCCACGCTGTGGTCGCAGCCACACTAGCACTGGGCGAAGACACAATGCTCTGAATAGCAGTACCCATGTCAGATAACACACTAGTATGTAGACTTATTATCTATAATTTCAGCTGACATAACTGGTTGCTATAGATTTTGGGAAGAACTAAAAATCTAAAAACTGTTCCTAGAATCTCTCTCCCTGAGAGGTGCTGGTAACGATTTTTAACGGCACCACTCTGCTGCAGCTTCAAAACCAGGAGGGGCATGAACACACTTCAATAACCCTAAGTAGGAAGAGGGCGTGGGCAATCTTTGTTCACGCACCAACTGCTCAATTCCTAATCTCCAGAAAGAGACTCTGTGCGTCAGGTTTCAGACTAACTGCTGATACAGGTGGCACCATCGAGAGACAAGTCGAGAATCCAGATGAAGAGGTTAAAATCCTCTGGACTCCCTTTCAGTCTGACTAAACCTATAAAATCTACATTTTAATAGCTGGTGTTCCGGAGATCACAAGATTTCTTTTTGCACGTGCCCCTGATGGAATTAATGAGAGGAGGAGAGAAAAGCATATGCCTAAATGCCTGGGGGTGACTATAACAAAGGGAGAGATTACAGTTTATTAGCATAATTCCAGCACCCACAGCATATTGCTTGCTCCGAATATTCCAACAAGAACATGCACCACACAATCGAAGCTCTGTAACTAACGTGCTTATGGGCTTTAAGAGGGGAACGTTTACCAACTAAACATTGGTCGAAATAATGGCTAACATTTAGACATCTGCTTTCAAGAGAAGCATCCTCTCCACCTGCTTCTGCAGGCCACAGAGATACACTCTAGTTAACACAGTACTGACAGGATGATGAGAAAGCTCCTGTCAGATGCCGGCCAGCCGGGTGTTTGAGACAAAATGCACAGCCCCAGCTGACTAGTTAGAGAAAGTCTGGTGAAGTACAATTACAGAGGCGTATGACAAGGCTTCATGCCTGACTGATTTGAGAACCAGTGACATGGCTTTAAACAGCGATCCTCCCCATCTCTGGCCACAAAACAGCAATAAGTCAACTGATACATGCTTGTAATACCATGATTTATTCCTTTGCATCACTGATACGATGTTCTGCTAGTCTATCAAGATTCACTGGGGGCTGAAACATCTAGGGCCTGCCTACAGCATGCATAAAATCAACGTTCTTGTCCAGGGTTACCAGAAACCTCCCCATGTGTACTTGATAATATGTAAGTCAACAGAATAAAAACAAAAATGATTACGTCCCAATTCCTTAATCTCAGACATGAAAAACTATGATAACAGGTCTAACACAACACCATACTTTAAAATATAGAGGGGGAATCCATTAAAATATTAAAAATATTAAATATTTTTATATATTTGTTCATATACGTTAAAACTAAATTTTGTAAAGTTTACAAAGGTACAAATTATAATTTTTAACTACAAACAGCACCTAAAGAACCCTCAAACTAGCTGGTTTGCTACCAGAGTATCACCGCTAAAATCTGCAGCAAGATGTAAGGTTCACAAGTCTGATTCTACCATAATCATAAAACTTATGATTGTCAAAGAGTAAATAACTGAGGCAAACAAAATTTTAGCATTACCGGTGTTAAGACACTTTAACTTATATGTGTTCTCCCAATAATTAAAATTCTCACTGTGTACTTTAAAAATGAAAAATGAGTAAAACACAATTCCTTACATCAGCAGGAAGTACATTATAATCTCCATGGTATATAAAAAATATAAGAATATAAAAAGCTTAAAAGCAACTAGTCTTTCCTTTGATGTTTCAGAGATTTCATTAAACTCCTCTTAAATAGCTTATTTCTAATTTATGTTAAGGCACTAATCGTTGACCTTAAATGTTACTATGCATAGAATTTTTGGGTTATTTCCACTACTGTACAATTGAAAAAATACAATTTTGAGATTTTGAATTATAGTACTGACATGCCCACTTTTGCAGAAAATTGAAAACATATTTTACATGGTGAAAAATATATTATATGCATTTAAAGAAGGGTGGAGAAATGATGTAGTAATATCAAAAAATAAGTACTAGTCAGTGAAGCAATTATTTCTTTTTTCTTACCTATCTTAAAGAGATGTGGAGAAATTCAGTCTGAATCATGTTGTATTTTTATGTATTTCCTTTTCTGCTATCTTTAACTTAGCATTAAAGTAAAACTATTCTTCTTTCCCCTCCTGCTGCTCATTTTTAACCTTGATTTTTTTAAGATTACAGAGGATATATATATATATATATGAATACGAATAGTGTCCTCATGATTAAAAAAGTTATACAAACTGTCTTGTAGGCCTAGCAACTAATTCATATCAGGATTACTTCATGTAACAAGTATTAATTAGGCACATACTATGTGCCAGGCACTTTCTAGGCACTAAGAATTCAGTCACCAAAGCCAAGTGCAGGCTCTCTTGGTGCTTATATTCAACTGGGATGAGAAAGATAATAAACAAAGGAACCAATGAACAGCTATAAAGTCGTATGCTGTGAGCACAGAAGGGCAGTGCATACAGTGGACGTGCGTGCAGGTTGGGGGGGGCAGGTTCCTACCTTACATAAGGCGGTGATGGGAGGAAGGTCGCTCTGAGCAGTGTCTGAGCAGAGATCTGAAGAAGTGAGGGAGTGAGCTATGCAGATGAAGTATAAGTGGCTCTGTTTGTGAAAACATTAGAAAGAAATCTAACTATTTACTTTTGAAAAATACTGAAGTTTTCCTTTGTTTTAATTTATATCTACTTCTCAATGGCTGTGTAGTCTCTCTTCGACTCAATTTGTTCATGTGCAAAGTGGGAGTATTAGCAGTCTTGATCTCATAGGGTTGCTATAAAGATTAAGGAAACATATATGAGAAATGCTTAGAATTGTATCTGCATAGGATGTTTAATTATTATTAGGTATAATTTTATAAGAGTCTAGATCTGCCGTTGAGAGTAAACATTAACATGACTATCCTTTATATTTGACTTAAAAAACAAACTGTTATCGTGATGGCTTGGTGCTACTCGGGGAGTTGTTTCCTATGTCCGAGGTCAACTGAAGATCAATTGTTTATGACGGTTCGTGCAAACTTGAGGGTGACGGCACCTCTGAGTCACCAGCTCTGTTTTGGTTCACTCTGTGGGGCAGTTGAGCTGATAAAAAAAACATAATTCAAGTTCTCTTTCATGATCTTCTTACCCTTCCTATGTGGGGGAAGCTGGTTTACTTGAATCTATCTTGAACGAGTCCTGTATGTATACAGTGCATAAAAATACATCTGCTATAAATTCTATGCACAGTAACAATGACGGTCAAGGACTAGTGCCTTAACATAAATTAGAAATAAGCTATTAAAGAGTTGTTTAATGAAATCTCTGAAACATTTAAGGAAAGAATAGTTGCTTTAAGCTTTTTACATTCTTATATTTTTTATATACCATAGGACAATAATGTACCTCCTGCTAATGTAAGAAATTGTGTTTTACCAATTTTTTTCATTTTTAAAGTACACAGTGAAAATTTTAATTATTGGGAGAACACAGGCAAGTTAAAGTGTCTTAACATTCATAATGCTAGAATTTTGTTTGCCTCAGTTATCTACTCTTCGACAATCCCAATTTTTCATGATTATAATAGAACCGTATTTGTCAACCTTACATCTTGCTGCGGATGAGAATCAGGAGACCCAGTTTTACATAAGGTGTCTCCAACAAGCTTTTTGCCCTGGGGCAGCCATTTATCTCTCTAAAATATCTTTCTCGCTGTTAAATACTAAATAGATACCTTACAGAAATCCTAAAACTCTTTCTACTCTAAAATGCTAAAATATTATGGAATGAGCTTTTTATTTCTACTATTGGAGAATAAGACATTTTATTAATTAAACAATTTTGTGAATTAATTTATTAAATTTGTGAAGAAGAAAATTCATGTCGCATTGAACAGTTTTTAAGATATCATAGATTACTCAAAACTATATTTGAATTTGTATTAAAAATTAAAGTTAAAAACACTAACTTTTTAATGCTTAAAGGAGAAAAAATTATGAAACTAGTTTTTAATAAAGATATCATAGATTACTCAAAACTATATTTTAATCTGCATTAAAAATTAAAGTTGAAAATGTTAAATTTTTAATGCTTAAAGGAGAAAAAAATTATGAAATCTAGCAAAATACTTTTGAATATTTTTCTATGCCTGAAGAAAAATCCTTCTCTTCTCACTGCATTTACCGCAGTAATGAACACCTTCCAAAAGAACATCTTAGTGTCATAAAACCTACGATTTATAAAAAATGCTACTTTGACTTTTAAGTTATTATCAGTCTGAAGAGCTCCTCCAAATCAAACTATTATAGAAGCTACTCCCAAACCACTACTTGGCAACGCAGATGAATCTACCTATTACCAGGTTAGGGTAGCAGCTATTATCATGGCCCTTGATTTCTTTCAAGTAGCTCCAATGGAAAAAGCCACAAGTGAATAATAAAGATCTCATAATAGCTCTTAAGAACTCTTTATATGGTAGAAGGCACTGAAATGAACTCTGGAGAGTTAAAAAGGGGAAAAAAAACCTCATCTCTTGATAAGAAAAAATAATTAACCTGACTTAATGCATCTGAGAAGGCCTCCTATGAATCAGACTTTTGTACTTCAAGAGCCAGATTAAAACCATGTATCAGAAAAGCATGTAGATACTGCCCTGTAAGTGTGCGTGGAACACTTCTAGCCCTGCAAGGCTGTGGGCCTTTCTGTGCACGCTCAGTGCCTGCCACTCAGCAGGGAAGGTGTGAAGTACTCACAGTGCTCAGTTTGCCGGAGGTGACGAGGATGCGCCGCTCGTGCAGCATGCTGGCGTACAGCTGCAGCATGTTGCTCACGTCCACCGCGACGAAGTACTCCGTGAGGTTTCTCTGCGCAGGTGGAAACAGCTGCGTCAGCTACAGCTCATGACGAACACGAAGGACATTTTATGTGCTTGCCAGAAAGTCTTCAAGTTCAGAGGACGTTATTATTAAAAGTGGTCTTCATTAAAATAATTAAATTTAATACTACTCTGCTATACATGAAGCATGAAATAATCTACTATTGTTATTTGACGCACAACCTACTCCAGAAAGTGTTTCTCAGAGTGTGAGCAGAGGATCACATATTTCCCACCTTCCCAAACCCCCGACCCCGGCCAAGTATTTGAAAAGAAGCTAATTTCCTGGGCCCCGGCCCAGACCTGCTGAACTGTCATCTTCAGAGTACGGCCCCCAAGAATCTGCTTTTCAGACAAATACTCCTGGTGATTCTTATACACTCTGATGCTTGAGAAACCCCTGCCCCAGAAAATACAGTTGAATCTTTTCATGTTTATCATTCATTACATGAGCAAAATCATAATCTAATACTACACAGTGTGTACAAAGCACCCGAAGAATAAGATGGATAAGGCAGTTGTCTGTTTTGTTATTAAGGAAAATCTCTTGTTTATTCCCCAGGTCAGACTTGCTTTATACCACTGTCACCAAATATAATTTGGTGATGTGTTAAACTGATTCTTTAATTTAGCACTTTAAATCATTTCCCCCACAGAGTAACAAAGCTGAGACAAGCTACATTAACTCTGACTTTGAATTCTCTCCTTCTCATTACTTATTTTGAATTTCCTGTAATCAAACTTAAGTGCATCAAAATGCAACAAATTAATGAAGAGACTGAATAAGACCCAATAATAAACTGAAACTGTATAGTACCGGGTGGACTGTGCCCTGGAAGGCTAAAACTTGTAGTTGGCAAAGAAACTAAGAAATTGAACTGTTTCTTCGATTTCCAACAGGCAGAAATTTTACCAGCACAAATTGGTAATCACGACAGAGCGTATCCACGGAATCTCTCGGTGCCAGTGAGTGACGGTGAACTGGATGGGTCTCGTTCATCCCCGGTTCTCTCTGTCTGAAGCCTACCTCGCCTTCTAATTCTACTCTCATACACAGAATCGACGGCATTCAACATCAATGTATTTCCTATAATCTGAAAGATGCTTTTTCAATGGGGAGTCACTTCCCAACACAGAATGCTGCCTTATGCTATGTCCTTGCTTTTTTTTTCCCCCCCAAGCAGGACTTTTTACAAAATAAAGTGTGTTAATTGAGATGTAAAAATGTTTATTCTCAGTGGCAGTTTCTCCTTAGAATGTTTGTTTTTTTAAAACTTTCAAGGCAATGGTCTCTTTAAAAATGTGACATTTGGCAAATCAAGCTATGAGCTGTCTGTTGATAAAAGTAGGAGAAAGGTAAACAGGAGAGCGAGCAGAAGGGAGCAACTCTCAGTTTGTATCAGAAACTGCAAAGCGCAGGGCCCAGGCTCACAGACCAGGCCTGGCCAGTCAGCCTGAAGGAAAACGGGACAGGGGGCAGCAGCCCACGACGTGCAGCAGGCTATCACGTAGGTAAGAGCTCTGATGGTCTAACTCAAGTCCACACTCAGAGCAACCTGATGCAAAGTCTTTTCAGAGGGGTTACCTAAACTCAACCGTACGAAAACACCATGATAGTCTTGGTTTGATATTAGGAAATTTACGATTGTTTTCTTGGACTTCATTCACTACCTGTGTGCTTTTAGAAACCAAACAGTGACTACATTTCAAAACACATTTAGAAAAACAGTAAAATTCTAGAATAAATAATAAGTATATATGGAAATACTATTTTGCTGTTGATTTTTTCTTTCACTTTTGATTGAATTATTTCTACTGATTCATTTTAACTTTCCAAGGGAAGCTGGAGAAAAACTATATAAGGGAATATTTCCTTTTCACCCACTTTTCCCAAATCATAAAAGCATATTTGTTAGTTCTGCTTATCCATGTAAATTTTTTCCTACAAATTATTAATTTGTAATAAATATTGAATCACTGAAAATATTCCTGGTAGAGCTACAATTAAGACTCTAAATAAAATGCAAGATTTAACTATTTTTATAATTTCTTATAATATTCCTCAAGTCTTACAAAATACTTATTACTTTAAATTAAAATCAGGAAATCAAGTACAAGACACCTAAGATTTGAACAGAATTACATAAAAGGAATCTAAAATACTACGGTTATTTCACTAATTATTTGTGTGAAGACAGTTGCCACTGCTAGCATTCTTCCTACCAGCAGAAGCAATCTCCTGAGATATCTCTTTTACCTGATAAGAGGGGGCTCAGGACCTTATTAAATTTTTACGATCCTACCTATTTTAAATGACAGAAATAAGTTTTCTCATATCATTATCCTCAATTTTCCTTAAGTAAAACCATATATTAGAGGGTCAAGGGACAGATACACAAGGAAGAAAAGGAAATATTATCATCATTCCTTATTTTGCCATGATTTCGATAAACACAGATAATTGCAAACTATCCTATTTCTCTATACAGAAATCCATAAAGAGACCAAAATAAATAAAATTCACTATATAAGCAGAATAATTAAAGTAGAAAACAGAAAACTTACACTCTCAGGTATTGTTGGGAGTCCAGTTACATCAGGGGCAATGAAGTAGGAATGCTATCAATACAAATAAACCACATAAGAAAAAGAGAATTAAAATTTGGGGGTATTATATATAATTTGGGATAAAAATAGGGAAAAATATATTGACTGAATAAATAAAGGCCACGGACTGACACTCAGGATTTGTTGAATTTGAGATATTCTTAAATGAGTTAGCAGGTTTATATGAAATTTAACAACTTTATTATACAAAAAGTTAAGTGATGGGTAAAAATTTTCACTTTAAAATTGAACAGAATTGAAAGAAGCATCCTGGGAGAGTTTTAAGGTAAAAAAAAAAAAAAGTACAGTACTGAATGGTTTTTTATATGTATATGTAACATATAAATGTATATATTCTTAATACACATTTAGGTAGACTGGGGAAAGTACATAACTAAAAAAGTTTTTTATTTATATAAAACATAGAAATATATATATTTCTTAAAACATGTTTAGTTAGACTAAAAAAATGAAGCTTGCTAACCCAAGTATATATCAAAATCTATTACAATTCCTGAGTTTTTGTGGTAAGTCACAACAAATTTCTTTTGTAAACATCAGCCACCATATTATTTAGAAAGCAGCAACAGAACATAATTTTTAAATGTTTAAAACTTCTTAAAAATATACTTATTCCAAAATACGACCCTCACACATCCACTAAACAAATACAAATTAGCTTCAATAATGGTCAAAGCAGCGTAACATTTGATCAAAATATTTATCTAACGAACATACTGTGTATATGCCTTCATGTTTCCTGCAAAGTTCCCAAATCTTACCACCCAGAATCAAAGTGCAACTTAATCACTGAAAACAGTTTTATTTTCTGTTCATATCAATCTCCAAAATTATTTTAATATCTTAATCACATAAGGACATATTTAATACCATCTTATAATTAAAGATTAGAACAGAAACATTCTAGCCATAGTTGAGCACAGTTGAACTAGTCAGAACAAAGCTAGTGAACACAATCAAAACATATAATTTTCCAGGGTAGAAGAAAAATAGGAGATAAATCATAAGATCTTTTGATAAAATATATGACAGAAAGCTCATTCTGGAATATACTTTAAAATTACTATGGAAAATGAAGACTATGCATAGATTTGGTTTCCATTAGCCACTTTGATTTTGAAGGGGTTTTACTAGTACTGAATTTCGTAAAACTATGTTTTAAAAAACAGCATAAACAGAAAATATATTCCAAATGATTACTTTTCTTAAAAGAGTCAAATTTACCATTTCCCAAAGGACTGGAGTTAATCTTAAAGACACAGTGAAAGAAGTAATTATTTTTTCAATTTAATAGTGATTTTTAGAAGCCAATGTCCTTTTAACTCACCGGTACCAGAGAGGGCTGATCTTTCACAACTTGCTCACTGGCAATAAATATCTCTTGGTTCTTATAATACATGAGAGAGAAAAAATGAATATTTTCATGGAGAAGCTTACACAACAATTTGCTGTGTATTTGAGACAAATCCATGTAGCCATTGAAAAATATTTGAATAACATTAATTATAAATGTTATTTTAAATGCTGATTTGCTAATTTTATGCTAGAAAAATCCTAAAGGGAGTATTTTCATATTGTGAGAATAGAGAATGCTATGAATATTTAATGATTTTTGAGATATAGTTTCAGAAAATCATTTAGAGATTAACTTTTCACAAAATCTCTGATAGCCTAGTGGCCACTATCCACTTGTACAGGAACAAAAACTTCCATGATCAATTTTAATCTGGCATCATAAAACTACAACCTCTACTGGTAGTTAAAGACAAATGTTCTCGTCCCCAATTTGCCCCTTATTAACAGCATAGCACTAGGCATATTACTTTAGTCGTCTTTTGTTGGAATAAAATGAAATTATTAATGAATTTCACACAAAGGTAACCAGGTGATTTTACTAATACTTAAGATATTGCAGCTTGAGAATAGGTATACAACATTTGAAAATCATCATAGACTATTAATTCAAAAGTATATAAAAAGTAAGGTTTAATTACAAAAATAACTATCATATATAGAAATAGTACATAGTCACTCAAACACTTTAAACAAGATTATTTTAGCTACAATGAAAAATATCTTCTCCACATGAGAAGAAACTTCAGTTCACTGCCAACTAACACCTGAACAGCTCTTCGTGGTAATATTTAGATAATTCTATTTCATACAATTACCCAAACCACTTTCTCAAAAGTTGACTCGCTCAATTTCTCAAATGGAAAAAAGGGATTATCAAAAGAAATTAACTTTCTTGCCTAACATCACACATTTAGTGGCTGTGACTTAAACCACAATCTTCTAGTCTTAGGTAAAGAGGCCTAGAAGTCTTTGATTTAGGATTCTTATTAATAAAGGTGAAGTGTTTCATACCTAGTATTTTTGAGATATATTTTTAAGATATTTGTCCCTGAGCAAATATGATACTCAAATCTAAAGAGAACACATTTGTCTTTCTCATAATATTATCTCCATTACCTTAGTACCTATATTTTCTTAACTCATGAACAAAGCATTAGGATCTCTTCACAAATACGATGCTCTCAAAGAAAGGTGACTTTTTTGGTGAAACCCAGGGCTATTCTCTGTTCTCCTGTCCCTTCCCCTGCACTTCACCAACCACAAACCCTGCACTCCGTTGGCTGAGCTTCTCCTCCACTGATCTTTCCTCTAACTCTTTCGCTGGATCCCCTTTCTCCATCCCTACAGCCTATTTGAGCAGCGAGACCTTGGCCTCTGCTCTATGCTCTAGATATTCTCTCCTTTAAATTCTGTGTCTCCTGATGACTCCCAAATTTGGGTTAAAGAGTCCAGGTTATCCTTAGCTTTCCATCCCCCAATCTCCAAATGACTACTAAACACGTCCACTTGGGCAGCGGCACAACAAAAGAGGACGCAGCCGCAGACATAAAGTGGCAGAGAAGATCACAGGAAAGAAAAAACACTCGAAGCTGTCTGACAAGAAGTTTCACCGAGGTGGGAACTGAACTGGTTCTAGACTAAAGACAGACAGTCTATGAAGAGGCTTTAGTGCAAAAGGAAAGCACGTTTATTCAAGAAACTGAACAGAACAATGTGACCAGAGCGCAGACAGTCAACTCGAAAAAAACAGTGAGACAGAAAAAATGAAAAGTTAGATTGATGCTAACAAGTGGATTGTCCTGAAAGCTTGGCCAAAAGTTTGGGCAAATTCTATAGAAAACGGGTAGCTACAAAAGATATTCGGGAGGGGATTTTATATAATTCAAGTAAGTTTAACTTGATAGTCTTGTAGAAAGGACTGGAAGGAGAGACTCTAGATTAAGAGCTATTTTAAGTACCAGGCACATGAAAACCGGGGTGCTAACAGCGGAAATTTAAAGAATGGAATGATGTAAGATAACATCATTATTAAATGAAATTACAGGAGAAAATTCAGGCAAGACTAAAGCTATTACCAAAGAAAATAAGGATAACAATTTGCTTATCTTGCAAAAATGTAAAAGACCTATGATTACATTATACATTTTGAGTTACTTTTTCCTCTAAATTTTTCTTGCATCATTATAATTTTTTCTTCTTTATTAGAAGTTTATTATTTTTGGAAGAAACAAAATCACTATAAATTTTAAAATTCTATACTGTACACAAAATTAATGAAGAATATTAATGAAAACATTCATATTTTATCATGAACTTTGAATATTCAAAAAAATCCAAATGAATGTTTTTAGATATAGATGGCACTGTTCATCAAAAGTTTCAATTGTACAGTAAATAATCTATCCCAACACAAGTTTGCTGTTTCGACAAACTTTAACCATATTTCCACTGTTTTGTGATTACACTAGAAGATGTACTGAAGCATAGAGAAAGAAAAATTCACCCAGAATTTTTATCACATATGTTATATGCCATTTTCTATTCTTACTAAGTACTGTTTTCATTTTAGGAAGGGTAGTGTGTGCGTGTGCGTGTGTGTGTGTGTGTGTGTGTGTGTGTGTGTGTGTGTGTATTCCTTTATTATGCATGGATTTGTGTGTGTGTGTGTGTGTGTATTCCTTTATTATGCATGGATTTCCCCTGAAAAATGAATGTTTCTTACAACCAAAATGTCCTCACAATTTGGTTACTTTCAGTTAATAATAAATTTTTTAAATTTTGTAACTTAACAGCTATCAAAATACACACCTAATCTATCAAGTTATGACAGTTACAACAGTGCAAAAAAGTCTCAATGTTATCTTCTAGTAATGTTAGTACTATCACTGAAGTTTTCCTGGAAGCAGAGGTAACCTGGCAAAGAATTAATTTCTTGAAGGTGCATGTGTTCTTAAGTAAGAAATTGTTATGACTCCAAAAAACAATTACTGATTAAACACTTACCACACTCAAATTGACAGGAGTGTTTGCCTTTGGTACTGGGTGGTTATAGAGTGATTTGAGAGTTTCATTCAAATCATTTTCCTAGAGCAAAATAAAAAGTACATTTTATAAATGAAATACATACTAAGCAAATACAACTAAAACTACTTGACAAAATTGCCCACTGTGCCTTCCTATATTACATGTTTTATATAAATACTTTCTGCAGAAACGTTTCAAATAACTGAAACTGAGATATTTAAATCTAATAAATATGGAAAACTAAATCCCTTTATCCAGAAGAATAACAGCAACATTTATATTTAGTATAAATACATTTTGGAAAAAGTTATTATAAAAAAACACTAATGCATGTAAATCAAAACCACAAGGAGATATCACTTATCTCCAGCGAGAATGGCTTTTATCAAAAAGTCCCAAAAGAACAAATGCTGGCGTGGATGCAGAGAGATAGGAACACTCATACACTATTAGTGGGACTGAAAACTAGTACAACCTCTATGGAAAGAAGTATGGAGATACCTCAAAGAACTAAAAGTAGAACTACCATTTGATCCAGCAATCCCACTACTGGGTATTTACCCAAAGGGAAAAAAGACATTCTATAAAAAAGACATCTGCACTCAAATGTTTATAGCAGCACAATTCACAATTGCACAGATGTGGAAACAACCCAACTGCCCACCAATACATGAGTGGATTAATAAAATGTGGTTATTATATGTACACCATGGAGTACTACTCAGCCATAAAAAAAATGGTGAACTAGTACCTCTTGTATTAACCTGGATAGACCTGAAGACCATTTTTCTAAGTGAAGTATCACAAGAATGGAAAAACAAACACCACATGTACTCACCACTGAATTGGAACCAATCAATACTTATGTGCACATATGGAGATAACATTCATTGGAAATCAAGCAGATGGGAGGGGGAAAAGGGGATGGGTAAATTCACACCTACGAGGTACAATGCACACTATCTGGGTGATGGGCACACTTACAACTTTGACTCAAATGGTACAAAAGCAATTTATGTAACCAAAACATTTGTATGCCTGTAATATTCCAAAAATTTTTTAAAAAATAGAGAAAAGCCCAGCAAAAGAATGATTAAAGGGAAAAATTTACAAATTATCATCCCAGAGAAGTTTTTTAATTCAAAATCAAACTTCATTTCTGTATTATTTTTAAGAAAAAGACATAAAGACTTAACTATAAGAGCTAAAACTATAAAATTCTTACAAGAAAACATATGGGGAAAGCTTCGAGACCCTGGATTTGGCAGATTTCCTGGATATGACACCAAAAGCACAGGCAACAAAAGAAAAAATAAATCAGATAATCAAAATTAAAAACTTTTGTGCAAAGGACACCATCAAAAGAGTGAAAAGGCAGACAACCCATGGATTGGGAGAAAATACTTGCAAATCATATATCTAATAAGGGATTGATATCTTAATATATAAAGAACTCCTACAACTCAACATCAGAAAAATAATATGATTTAAAAATGGGTAAGTCATCCCCTTGAGGCCAGCCTGGCCAGGGGATGGCTGTGCAAAAAAAAAAAAAAATCTTTTTATAGAAAACTGTTTTTTAAAAGTTAAAATTAAAAAAGAATAAGAAAAAAGAAAAAAAAATGGGCAGAGGACTTGAACAGACATTTCTCCAAAGAAGATATACAAATGACCAATAAGAACATAAAAAAATGCTCAATATCACTAATCACTGGGGAAATGCAAATCAAATCCACGATGATGTACCACTTCACACCCATGAGGATACTATTATCAAAAAAAAAAAAAATTCAGAAAATAACAAGTGTTAGCAAGGTTATAAGGAATTTATAACCCTTGTATAAGATGGTGTAGCCACTGTAGAAAGTGGTATGGTAGTCCCAAAAAAGTCAAATGCAGAATTACGATTATTATCCAGCAATTCCACAATGTGGCTGCCAGGGCAGAGGGTGGGGAGGAAATGGGTCATTACTGGGTGATGGCAACAGAGTTTCAGTTGTAAGATGAAAAGTTATAGAGAGGAATGGTATTGATGGTTGCAGAACACCATAAATGCATTTAGTGCTACAAAACTATACAATTAAAAATGGTTAAAATGGTAAATTTTGTTATGTATATTCTATAATTTTTAAAAATGGAAAAAAAAAAAACAAAAAACCATAGCTTACCAGTTCCTTAGCCAAGTAATCTGCCAGAGTATTCAGAAGCTTGTAATACACTTCAAACCATGGCAGGTAACTATAAAAAAGAATTATTCAAAAATGCATATATAAAAAATGTAGAATCAAGAAACAAGCAGACAAAATAAGCAGTACATTTATATTATGTCAAACATATTAATCCTGGAAAGGTAGGAAAGAACTATAACCACATTCTCTTTACTTTTTCAGTTAGATTTAACATATTATCTATTATTAGTTTTCATAAAACAAATCAGAATCCAAAGTTCTATTATAAAATTTGTTCCTTATACACTTGTTTTATATTAGCAGTATCTAAAATTATTTAATCCTACTTCATGATAACCATTAAAAGCACTCATTGGATAAAAACCACTGTAAGAAGATATTATATAAAAAGTAATTTTAGTAAGCTTTTGAAATAACAGATACAATTATTTCTTTTAAAATGTTACTGAATTGAGTATATAATACAACAAAACTACATGTTTAATCAATTCTTCAGAAATGATGTTTAATTTCGATGGTAAATTTCAAAATAATTATCAACACAAATATTGGAAAGCCTATTCTAAAAATTACAAAAATTAAAACAAATATAATTTAAAATTCATTTTGCTAGATAAAAGAATTTTTACGAAAGCTAAATAGTAAATCAAAAAATCATGTGTAAAAATAAAATCTATATTTGTTTTAAAAATTTAAAATATTAGTATATTTCAAATCTGCCCAGAGATTTTAATTTTACATTTATTAAAATTTTCACTTTTCATACAGAAAAACAGTAAACCACAAAACACACCAGTGCTACTGATTATCAATTAACAAATACTCTTTTTCTTCAAAGCATTAGTACAATAGGCTGCTTAAGACAAAATATTGTAGTACTGTACACAGAGTACACAGACGAAACATTTTAAAATCTAAAAACCAATACAGCTTAAAAACAGCACTCTATAAAGATTTTTTCATATAATGTCTCATTTGTTAGTGACTATAAATGATGCTTTTTGAATCAAGAGCAATCTAAAGTCATAACAAAAGAAGGCGAGGTAAACTATAGTATCTTTACTCTGAAAATTATAGAGTTCTTTAAAATGATAATTACAAACACTACGCAATGATATGAAAAATTTCTATGATATCTAAAAATACCCGCCCAACTTCAAGTTAAATCTAGAATACTGAATGCATGCATTTATCTCTGTGCCCTCTGGAAATACCACTAAAATGACAGTAAATGAATAAAGGGAATAAATTAATAGGTGCTGAGAAATGGAGGGAAAAACAATAGCAACACAAGGGGATGATTGTGTGAACATGGTGAGCAAACGGCAATCACTGACACAGGAGAAAAGAGGAAACCAAAACCCGAGTGTCAACAAGGTGGAAAACGGCCGGCAGATACGAAGGGCTCTGGAGCACTGACTGGAGAATCTCTCAAAGGGAAAAGCACCTCGGCGTCCTATGTTCTTGGAGCGAAACCCACCACTGCACAGACAGTGCTTCCAATCCAGTTTGGCACCTGCCTCTTGGATATAGATTAACAGTCCAACTGGCAGACAGTTGAGGAACTACAGACGTGAATATGTGTTTGTACTGAACAAACCTAAAAGGAACTGCAAGTAAACACAGACAACACAAACAGCAGAAGGGAACTTTAAAGCTCATCTTAATATCCTTAGGAGCCGAATAAAGAGCAGGATGCTAGTAAACAAAACTAAATAAAAATAAAAGTGAAAAAAGCAATTAATAGAGAACGAGAGCGAGCTCTTAGACATTCTGAAAGCTGAAAAAACTAAAATCAATAGAAGGGTTAGAAGGTAACTCAAGAAAATCTCCCAGAAACTAGAATAGAGTTAAATAGATAAATGATGAGAGAAAATGTTAAAATATCAGGGTGATTAATCTCAACTATCATGTAGTTGACTAACAGTAGTTCCAAAAAGAAAGAAAAGAGAGAGGAAAGGAAAGGAAAGTTTCTTTTCTAAAAATTGCTGGAACGTTTCCCAGAATGTCAGGTGTGAGTCTCCGGCCTGAAAGGACAACCGAATGAACAGACGACGAATGGGGCAGACCAGAGCATCGCGGTGAAAGTCCAGAACAGGGTGCAGGAAAGCGCCTGAAGTTTCCAAAGAGACAAAAAAAAATAACATAAAAGGGATCCAGTTCAAAATGTCATTGAGCCTCTCACCAGCAATAGCGGAAGTCAGAAGATAATGCCTTCGAAATACAGAGACCCAAGAATTCTCGGTCGGAGAAACTATCGATAAGGTGTGAAGACAGATAACAGCATTTTCAGTCACGCAAGGACTCAGGAATCTACTTCCTAAGCCATTCAGGCTCCAACGAAATGAGGGAGACCAAGAAGGAACACGGGACGTAGGAGACAAGACTCCACGACATGGAAGAACGGTGAAGTCAGAGGACAGTAAGAGCTGCGCAAAGGCCCAGAGAAAACCAGTTCCACACTGAAACGGGAATGGGGCCTTAGGAAAGAGATGCTAGAACAGAGTGTTTGCAACAAGCATGTTAATGGCTTTGCGTGGGAGCCTGGAAAATCTGGATGGGTCTGTGACAGATTGGTGGCAGCTTTTGGGGCATCTGAAAATCAGAAGTTACTACTGGTAATCTCAATTTTCATATTTAAATTACCCAACACACCAAACCCTGGTATTTAGCTGGCTACTCTACTGCATGTACCTTCCATTTACAAAAGAACAATAATCCTTAAAGATTACTAACGCTGTTTTTAAATAGACAACTCAGTGTAGTGGAAATCAGTACATCATAGTTTCTCTATTCACTATAACTCAAAGAAATAATTTTCATGGAGAACGTCCTTCTATCAAGATCTATGAGAGCTCCTTAGTTAGAGTGTCATTTATTTCATTTGTAGTCATTTCATACTCACATTTCAACTTTTAATGGCCTGAAGAAACTACTCTTCCAAGATAATTTCAATGTGTCATGTAGTTCAGATCTGTAAATTCAGATAAGCTGAGACCCCATCTATTCAAGGAACACACTGGTCTGTTTCTATCCTACTCTCAAGGAGCTTTAGAGAAAGCAAAATTTATTGACTTTAGGGGGCTGTGTGTCTCTCTACCTTTTAATGCTTACATTGTCATTTTCATCTTACTTAAATAATTTGAAATCCTATTAACCTTAATTATTCTTTCCAGGTCCACTATAAAAATAAAAAATATAATAACATCTCTCATCATTGTGTTATTACAAAGTGAGATAATCTTTGTCTTTCTAGATCAAATTTGTTAGCGCTCTTTTAAATGTTCCGGTTTTCTCATCTTTACATTATTGTTTTTCATTGGTTATCTTCCCCTTTCAATTTCCTTTCAAATTGTGAAGAAAAATCAAAATCCAATTTTTCACTGAGAAGCTAATTTATACACATAAATGTAATTTATCTGTAAGGTTGTTTATTTACTTGTTTTTGAATAAATAAGTAATATATCCATATTTAGGTTACTTTTAAAAATTTAACAGTTCTTATTTATGCTAGGCATTTTGGTATACATCTAATTATTACTGTTTTGTAAATGTCCAAGAAGACTACTAACTTTTACTGAATTTCACAGATGAAGGCTATAACTTCATCTATAAATTAGACTATTACTATTTAGAAATAAGCTTTACCCATATGAAATATTTCTCATAGTCATCTCTAAGGTCACGAAATACTTTATTATTTCTATTTGGGAAGTATAACTCACTAGTAAGTTATATGCTCATCTGGGGGTTAGAGAGTAGAATCTAAGACTCACAGAATCTGTGTGTGGCTAAAGTAACTGGAAGCACAGGGAATAAAACTTCTTAAGCACTGACTGGGTGTGTGATGGTAGGCTAGGGACCTTTTATGCGCCATCTAGTTCTTACAATAATGCTTTGATACGTCTTTGGCTCAACTAAGGTAAAGCAACTTACCCAGGGTCACAAAGCTCCCAAAGGGCAACACTGGATTAGAATTCTAATCACCCTGATTGAGCAATACATGCTCAGGGGTCTAACACAGACAGCCCTTCAGCCAATTTAGGCATGTGTTTCTAAACTACCCAGCCCTTGAATAAACATGTCTAATAACCATCTTTGGGTAGCGAGATAAACTGAGAAAAAACATATTCTGGTTTAATCCTAAATCAGACTACTTATAATTTCTATCCACTGAAGCAAATTCTATCATTCAAAGTTAGTTTATTTGTTTAGCGTTCAGGGCATTACCTTTATGCATTTTAAATTACAGTTTGTCCATATGTGTGAATTTCTCAGCAGATAAAAATCTATTTAATGTGATTCTTTCATCTAACACTGTGGTAGTTCCTTCCAATTTCAGGTTGAGTACTGCTTCTGTGTTCGTCACTACAGATAAAAATCTTCAAAAGGATTTTGTACCTGCAACATGGTATACGGTGCCTTGCAAAATAACATAGATCTATTATTTATCAACACTCTAAGTTGGATATCTTAACCTCATCAGAAGATTGCATTATTTAACCAACATTTTCTCTATGTATAATTTGCTTGTGAAATAGTGGGAGACTTGAATTTCTACTGCAGCACTCCTCATACCCTGGCATGTGCTATCATCATAAAGAACCAAGCATAGTTACACACAGTGTGCTCTTTGTAAACGTGTCCTTTTAAAGACTACATATCACACATGCTTTTGAATAAAAACATCACTTACACAAAAGTGGAACTGCTCTGTAACCTAGCCATGCTGCTAGAAATGTCAAGGAAACAAGGACATTTTCTGTTGCAAATAAGCAACAGCATCTAGAGCAGAGGGTGCAAAATGGCTATTTGCAGGCTGCCTCTAACACATGGGCATATTTTGTTTGATCAACACCGCGGTGCTGGTGTTTAATTAAATAAGTTGCCAACTTATAAATCTGAGATTATTCATTTAAAAATCTGGATTTCTTGTTCCTCTTAAAAATCAAAAAGCTAGCTATATTGGCCACACATTTTTCACTGTTGTAACCAACGCCTAGAGCTGAGCAGTGGCTTCTGCCTTCGGATGTGGCATGTGCTATTCAG